GAAAGCTAGTTTTACAGCCCCAGCAATATGCAACTCCTGCAAACCACTTGGCTCTGGGAGGAGGCTGGGAAAGTTTCAGCTGTCTAGCGACGCTTCCAGTGAGATATTTTTAACATTCTCTCTCCTGAGCAAGCTGGGTTCAAGAGCCAGGAAGGGACGGCGTAACGCAGAACTGTTTTCCCTCCGGCCATTGCGGAAATCATTTCTCTCTGTCCCCTTCTTTTGCCATGTAGGTGTTCTCGCTGGCAGGTTCAACCTTCAGCCTTCCCTCCTCGCACATCTTTGGAAGCTCCCTCACCTCTGGGCTGTCCATCAACCCGCTGTTGAATCAGTCGGAAAGCAGCCGGGCAGGTATGTGAGTGGGAAGGTGCGTGAGCCCAGCCGGGCAAAGGGGGCTCCCTGGAGGAGCCACATTCGGTTCTCCAGCTCCCCTGTTTGCCCCCATCCTGCGGGTGAGGCTGGGGGCTAGGAGACACGTTTGGCCCTGGCCACAGGGTGCTTGTGGCCACCTTCATGCACTGGCCTGCAACCCTCTGAAAACCCCTCTGCTGGGGTCAGCTGCGTCCCTGGGCATGTGCTCAAAACGTGCCAGAGCATCAGATCTGCCCTACGGAAACTTGTGGTCATTTCACACGCTAAGGCTGTGCAAAGCCAGTGAAAACTACTGTGTTTTTGTTTGTTTTATTTGGCATTAACCATTTATCTGTGAACACTGCTTAAAAAAAAAAAAGTAATTATTTTTAGGTTTCTTCGGGCTTTTTTAAACCGGAAATATCTTGCACTCTAAATTTTCATCTTCACTTTCTGTTTTGAGTTACTCTCTGCTCTTCATCTCTGGCTGTGTCATGAGATGCAACAAAATCCAGTCTTTCTGGCTTCCCAGTGTGACCGAGCCAACACTGAGTTACTTAAAACTGCTCATTTTTTCCCATTGAGGCAAATTCATTTTCCTTGGAAAACTGCCTGGTTAATAAGCGGGAGAGTTGAAGCATCATAAGACTTCCTCCAGGTTCCAAAAAAAAAAAAAAAAAAGGAAAAAAAAGAAAATGAAAATGTGGGGTTTTTTTGTTTGTTTTTATAACCTATCTGTACCAGTAGCTAGGACCTGGTTCCTCTGGCCTCCAAATTCTTTCCTCCGCTCAGTGCCAGGGGAGGTAACGTTCAGCGGACACCTCTGGGTCATCACGTGGGACCGTTGAGTCAGGCGTGATTCAGTCACCTGGAATTAAGGAAAGAACAGGATGATTCAGAGATTTATTCTTCCCTTGCGGCGGTCCCCAAGGGAGGAGATGACCCACTGCCACTTCCCCGTGCTGCCACGTGCCAAGGTGCTGACGGAAGGAATCAAAATGACTTTCAGGAACAGCCTTGTGGTTCAGGCACAACACGGGACTCGGCGATCCTGTTCCAGCCCTGCGGCTAATGCTGGATGTCTTGCAGGCAAAACACAGAGCGCTCTCCAAAGCCTCATCCTTAGTTTCCGTTTCCATCTTGTTTGACGGGGATATTGCAGGCTCCAGGACGTGTTTCTTCCACATCCAGGCAGCTTTCAGAACGGCCCCTGTTGTTCATCACCTTTTAGGGCTTCACCATCTCCTCCTGCTGGAGCTAGTAACCCAGAGGGTGTTAAGCCAAATTTACTTTCCTTTTTCCAGGATTAATTAACCCTCATTAAACTTCCTGTATGGCCATTTGCACTTAGAAGTGTGATGTTTGTCTTAATCCCAAATTGCTAAAAGGGACGCTGTGATGTTTTGGGTAATCCTGCTGTATCTTTAGTTCAGATTTGTTTTTATGAGAGTGTCTGTGTAAATGGGTTGTGTGTAGAAATAGCTTTTGTGGCAATAGTATTTGAGTTCTTTGCAGTTTTAGCGTAGGAAAAGGTGTTATCCTGTCTTTCAGATGGGTGAAATGAGAAACGTATTGCTGATGTAGGTTGATACCAGGGTGCCTTTAGCAGTGCAAAAAGTCGGATTTTTATCTTCCCACTCCTTCAGCTGTCTAGTTCTTCCTCCCACCACCGTCCTGAATCCTGTCTCACTCTGATGACAGACCAAATATATTTATCTTCCGTAGTCATCCTCCAGCCTCCCCTTCATACCTGAAGTCTTGCAAAGCTCTGTCTCCATGAGATGGCTCAGTCGTCTCCTGGTCTTCCTGACGTATGGATCCATTTCCAAGGGGTTAGGTGGTTCTTGGCTGAAAGCACTACTGAGAAGCACTGCTCTGGTCTGACCGTCGTCAGCCTTCTGGTAACCAATCCTTGGAGGAATCGGGAAAGCTTCGTGCCTTGTGACGTCCCCCAGATCAGACCTGCTGGCCTTGTCCCCGCATGGTGCACCGGGAGGCTGCTGTTGCCTGGGAACTGCTGCCCACAACAATGTGGTCACCTCCTGAGCCCGGTGGCTTCTCTCCAGAAGAGCGAACCAGCTCTAATTGAGGGCCAGGAATTCACTCCCATGGGGATCAAGGGGTGAGGATCCCACTCAGAGCTGTCTCTAAGGGCTGCCGATCGGCAGCTGCATCTACTTGTTCTCAGCAGCAGAAAATACTGCCAATAACTAATGCCCTGCTCGGGGCATTGCGCTGTAAATCACAGTGCCTCGCAGTGTTCCCTGCAGGAGACTTCCTGGATTCTTGCACATAAGAAATGTCTCTTATTGTGTGAAGAAGAGGAGGGGCGAGCCAGCCAGCTGGTGCAGGCTGTATCGCAACATCTGACACGTCCCAGGGCCAGGGGGACGTGTGTTTACGGGCTGGAGGACCCCGGTGATGGAGAGCAAATGGCAGAGAAATTCCCTGTGATTTCTGTGCGGCGGGGAGATGTCCCCCACGTGCACGCTGGCTCCAGCGCTAGCATGGCCGGGGTTCCTGGGCCAGAAGTGTCATGGAGAGCTGACTGATAGTTCCTGGATTTAAGCACTTTGGAAAGCAGCTTTGGAAACTTTGGAGGACTCGGATTTAGGGAAAGGATCCTGGAGGCCCAGGCTTGCAGCGGCACCCAGGGGAGCTGCGCGGGGCTTTGCACAAGCCCGAGCCGTCCTTGCAGGCTCAGCAGGGAAAGGGACGTTCCCCTTGCTCCACAGCTGGAGGAGAAGTTTCCCTCTGCCTGTTTCCCAGAAGTTTCCCTGCTGCCGGCAAGGAGACCCAGGCAGTGTGACCATCATCTCCTGCAGACAGAGCCCGGCTCACATTGTGTGGTGCCTTGGGCTTGCATCTCGCGCAGCTTTAGTGATGCTCCCAGCTGGATAGTGCCTGCCTGCTCTAGCTCGTGCCGTAGGAAAGGGGCTGCGCTGCCCGGCAGTGACCTTCCCGGTGTGACCCCGTCCCGGCGTGACACGCAGTGACACGCAACGACACGCAGCCCCTCCTCCGTCGCCTCCCACGCGGCGCAGAGGCGCATGCGGGGACAGCGCTGTTATGCAATGACGGGTGCCCTGAGCTGCTCGGTGCTCCCATCTAGCGGGGACCGCGGCGCTGGCCGTCCTCCGGCGCAGGTGACAACAGCCAGCGGCACCTGCGATGGCTGGAGGAGCCTGAACTGTCCTCTCTGTCCTTCCCCACCCAGAGCCTGACCTGGAAGACTGCGGGTTTGGCTGCCGAGGGACGTCGCCCCAGGAGAGCCTCTCTTCCATGTGAGTGTCCTCCAGGAGTCCTCCCTCGCCGCGGGGCACGGCAGTGTCACAGCAGCAGCGCGGGCACCGCGGAGCCCCGGGAAGCCGTGGGATGACACAGCAAGTACAGGGAGAGAGAGCCTGGGAGAAGCGGAGGCAGCTCCTTCTCTTCTCCTTGAGACAGGGGGAAAGGTGGGATGGGAGGAGGCAGACGGGAGCCTTCCCATGGAAGCTGAGGAGCTACCGGGAGCGCAGGAGGAGGAGGGCAGGGGACGTGCAGGGAGAAGGGGGCAGAGGAATGCAGGGGGTCTCGCCTGGTGCCTCTAAATGCCCCTTCCTCTCGCCAGGTCCCCCATCAGCAGCCTGCCAACCCTCTTTGACCAGACGGTGTCCTGCAGCAGCAGCGGGCAGCTGGAGAATGTCCCCCAGGCCACCCCCAACATCGAGCAGCTCCTGGAGAAGCAGGGCAACGGGGAAGCCGGCGTGAACAGTGAGTCCCTTGGGCAGGGGCTGCCGGGGGGAGCTCATTGTGCACGTTCATACTGATGCCAGCTGGGATTTTGCCCACGAGTGAAGGAGCTGGGTTGGGGACAAAGCACAAACTTGTGCCAGGGGAAATAGTTGGCAGCAGGACTGTGACTGGACCAGGCTGCTCCGTGCTCTGCTCTAATGGTAGTACCCCCCTCCGTGCCCCGCTTCTCTTCCCTCCATCTCCCTGTTCTCTCCCCTCGATCCCGTCCCCCTTCTCCCTTTCCGTTCCCTGCAGTTGTAGAAATGCTCAAAGCCCTGCACTCGCTGCAGAAGGAGAACCAGCGGCTCCAGGAGCAGATCATGACGCTGACAGCCAAGAAGGAGCGTTTGCAGCTCCTCAACGTCCAGCTCTCCGTCCCTTTCCCGGTGGTGACCACCAGCAATGGCCCCAGCAGCCAGACCCAGTACATCCTGCCTCCCAACGGTGAGGGGGTCAGTGGGATGAGTCTCCGCATGCCCTTTTGTACTGGATTCCCTCAGGGCTGCTGGGAGGGAGGCACAAGGGGAGGGTCTGCCCAGCCATTTATCTTGCTGTAGCTGCACGAGATGGAGCTCTTGGCTGTCCATGCTGTCCCTTGAGATTGTTGTGCCAGTGCTGGGCTCCCCCCTGACTCCATCTTCTCTTCTTTCCTCTTTGCAGTCTGCAACAACGATTCCCTGAGCATCAGCAAGAGCCCCCCGTGCAAGAACAGCTTTGGGATTGAGAACTCGCTCTCCACCTCCTCTGAGGTACATGGTCACCATAAGCCCCAGCCAGCTGGGGAACGGGCTTGGGGAGGGAACAGGGACACATAAGCTGTGACTTCATCTGCAGCAGATAAACCTGTATAGTTTAGGCCCAGAAATGAGGCTTCTTTCTCTGGAATGCCCATTCTTCTGTGCTGAGGGTCCAAGTAGAGTAACTGGGGCTGGGAGCAAGAGGTGAGAACGCTCGTAGTCTCTTCTGGCTGCATCCCTAGGGATCTAGCAGAGCACGTCAGAGCTGCAGGACCTCTCCGAGCACACAGCTGCACTTACCCTCCCAGCCTCCTCTCCCACCTCCTCCAGCTCCTGCCCCTGCAGCATCCCTGGAGCTGATCTGATGTTTCACAGGCTGCCCCAGTCCGACCCTCTTGTGTCCATTTCTCCCCCAGGACCCTCATTCAGGTTGCCCCAGCAGGAGCAGCTCTTCCCTGTCCTTCCACAGCACTCCTCCGCCCCTACCCATGCTGCAGCAGAGCCCTGCCTCGCTCCCCCTGCCCGCGGTGCAGCAGGTGAATGGCCTGGCCAGGGTGGCAGGCAGCGGGCTGGGGGGAGGCACCGCTGGCAGCCACAGCCTCTCCACGGTGCCCATGGTGGACGGCCTGATGGGGACCCTGGCAGGAGGCCAGCAGATGCCCATCAACGGGATCCTGGGGAATCTGAACGGCGCTCAGGCCGCCCAGGCTCCGAGCGCGCTGACGCAGGCGAGCGGGCCGCCGACCTTGCAGCTCTCCACCAGCCTGAGCAGGTGAGGATGAGGAAGGGGAGCTCGTGGGGACAGCCCTGCCCTCTCCAGCAGAGGCTTAGCACTGTGAGGGAGGGAGGCCCTGTGCGTGCAGGGCACGGCGGGCTGCCCTCCCGCTCGCTGCCCTCCGTCCTTTGCAGCGTGCCCAGCCTGAGTCCCCTGACGGAGCAGCAGCGGCACATCCTGCACCAACACGAGCAGCAGCTCCAGCAGCTCCAGCAGCTCCTGACTTCCCAGCCACTTAATCCAGTAAGTGCGCCTGCTGGCGCCGCTTATCCGCTGAGCTGTTTAATGGGAAAGCTTTGGAGCAGAACTCGGGGCTCCCTCTTTCATGCAAATCCCCTGCCCACAGGGCTGCCTTTTCCTTGGCTTGGGACAGCTGTGGGTTGAACGAGGAGAGCTCTAGGCAGGAAGGTGGGGCACGTCTTGGAGGGGCGTGATGGGGCTTCGAACTTTTTCTTACAAAGAAGGTAATTTAATCTGGGTTTCCCACATCCTCAGGGTGTGAGAACATAGTAACGCTAAGTCCCCACGTGAAATCAGGAGTGTTGCTACTCCTGCAGCTGTGTCTGCACGCAAGTCGGGTCTGTTCCTGCTGCCGTGACCACGCTGCTGTCTGCCTCGCAGATGCGCTGAGGCCCAGGGGAGAGGAGGACCCTATGGAAGAGGAGATAAGCACTAAATTGGCTTAGTTCTGAGGCAGCCAAGCCGTGTCTGGGCACATTGACACGGAGATCTTCCAGGGAGACTTGTAGCGTGTAGGTGGCTGTGGACGTTGGGGTCAGAGCAAGGACTTAGGCAGCTGTTGTGAGGATCTGGGCTCCATGCCTTCCCCCTCCTGATAAAATAGCAGCCCGGTCCCAGCTTCTTGTGCGAACGGCTGCATGGAGAGCCGGCGAACAAGCTCCGAGCGCATCAGGAATCCGATTGCTCCCGCTGCAGAAACCTCCGCGTGTCCCTGCCCTGCCGCGGAGCTGCACGGGAGCAGCGCTAACAGTTCCCGTCAATGAAGCTATGCTAATTTATCTCCCATGAACTTGGCCCATTGCTTTGGTTGTGTTTCTGGGTCAAGCTATTTATAACCAGAGAAAAGCAAATTTCAAAGGGCTTCTCTTTACAGCAGCTGATGTCACTGTGTCATCAGCTGCCTCCCTATGGGTATGGAAACAATGTCAGCTCTCCGCCTGCTGCATTGGTCGATGGTTGCTATAGCGATTCCCGAGATTTGGTTGGATTTGAGCATGTCCCTCCGGGCGCAGGTGAGCTGCAGCCCTCGCTCTCCCCAGAGCAGGACTCTCCTATCCTGATCCGGGGAGAACGGGTGGAGTGAGCTGAGGAAATGAGCAGCCAATATAGAAATTCAGGGAGGTGAATTCCATGGATTGCTGGAGATTTAACATCCATCCAGGACACGGTGCTGGGGAGGTTGGGAGCACGGGGCAGGCTCCCCTCTGTACCCACACGATGTGGTCACGGGGCCTTTGGGCTGTCCCCAGCAGCATTGGGATGCCCAGCAGGGATGGAGCGTGCTGATGTGGTCCCGACTTCTGGCCCAGCTCCTCCCCACCTGGAGCAGACGTTCCGGAGCAGCCCCGTATTCCCCGAGCCCTTTTGCTCCCACCCGTACAAGCTCTCCTCTCCCTCCCCGCAGGAGCAGCAGGCCCTGGTGTTCCAGATGATGCAGCAGATCCAGCAGAAGAGGGAGCTGCAGCGGCTGCAGCTGACGGGCTCGTCGCAGCTCTCCATGAGCAGCCTCCTGGCCGCCACGTAGGCCCCGCTCCTGCACTCCAGCCCCAGCGCCCC